ATATTGCTAGTAATGGGACTAGTAGTCCTCATTACTAACAATCCCCCCCCCTGTTAGTGATGTTATAAAACAAGGAAAAGTGGTGAAGTCTCACCTAACACAGTGGTGATGATTTTTCTTTATACAACTTAGAATGGCAAACAAGCTGACGGCCCACCTGATGGAAAGTGGTAAACGTCGCCTATAGACATGAGCAGTACCACGAACATAACAGAGTATACTGTTTCGCCCATGCGTTGCAATTTCTGAGGACTCAGGTGTTATTCCTCTTATTTTTGTCTTCTTGTTGTTTTGTCCTTTTATTATTATTTTATTTCAATCGGTTTATAAATAAAAAAGTTATATCAATCTAAAGAATCACATATAAATTGCTTTAAAATAACCAATCAGTTCAATTGTCTGAAACTTTTTTACTATATGTATAGATTTTAGAAAATTCTGTCGACTCGTACGAAGCCGGGTCGGATCGCTAGTTACTAATAACTCTACCCAATATAATTTAAACGTACGTAATAAAATAAAGAAAAAAAAAGAAACACTCTCCAACAGGCAAAGGGCGAAATGACGATCATAAAGGGTGATAAAAGCTTTCCCCAGCTCGATTAGTGACGTATCTATGGGCATTATCGATAAATCGATACCCCCAAGTCTTATCTCGATTAGGGCGCACTAGCAAAACAATACTTCGCTTACTTTAAAAAGTTCAGTCGAGAAAGTCGATTGTGTTCGAGTGTTACTTGAATTTATGGTCGGTTTTATGTTTATCTTAATTGTTATTTAAAAGCTATGCCGGTTTATGGTGTAACTAATAAGGCGATAGATCCTAGAATTGCCAATTAAAGAGTTTTATCTTCAGTAGAAGGATATAAACACACACATTAATATTTATAATATTATTTGCCCCACTCTGCGTATTCTACTGCTTATACAATGAGCTATGTTAAATTATTAATTCAGTCTTGCGCTACCTATCCATTTCTATCTGTTCTCCTTTAACCAAAAGTTGTCTGTAAGAGATTGCTCTACCGATAAGACCGCCTTTTGTACCTTTATGTGTACATTTCAATCTGTATTTATGTTATTGTACTTCACTCGAATTGTTCATTTGTTATTGTATATTTTTGTTTATGGTGTAATAAAGAGTTAAATCTATAAATACGACCACTTTCTACCATTAAATATGTCGTCATTAACAGAGAGTTCACCCCCATATCTTAGAGCCTAGATAGTCTCCGAGATAGAGCGGTTTTAGAGATATTTCCTGCAACGACCGCTCCATAACGTAATATGAAATGAACGCCAAGATTTTTCAGATTCGGCAACGTGCACGTAATACTCTTGATTATGCAAGCGTTCTTAAGCTACGGTAATCGCTTACCATCAGGTAGATCGTATTGTTAACTTTTAAATACACAATTGGGCTTTAATGTGATGAAAAACCTTTGTAAGTAAATAATATCTACATACCTGTTTCTTTATTGCCAATAATTAATTTATACAGATTTTACTCATTCTTATAAAGTTAATCATGGATAATGCATATTTTCATTAATAAAAATAATCTTTTATTAATGAAAATAAATGAATATCTAAATCAATTTGTCTATTAACAATAAAAACATATATAATATATAAAGTTTTTAATTTAAATTGCTATATTGTGTTTCGTTTATGATTAAAAGTATCATAAACTCTGGTTTTTTCCATTCATTTTTTTAAAACTAAACAAAAACCCTTTAAAAATAAACGTACCGGTGTTATATCGTACATATATTTGTATCTAATAAGGTTACAACATTTGTTCCACCGATGTCGAAAAAGATTTTTTATCGATATCTGTATATTGTATGCTTGTATACCTCACTAGCTATCCACATGGCATATCCCACACAAATCGGCCAGATAATTGTCGGGGTTCTGTTTATATGTCAGTGAATATAGTTAATTTAAGTTATAAACCAATCCCAGTTAGTCTGTAATAGAACTTATGTCTAATAATACTACAAAAAAATCTTCCTGTCTGTCTTAGCTAAACTACTGAATAATGTAGAAACGAGATGGGACCTCAATGTTAGTATCACATTTATAATTTAAGATTATATAAAAAACAACTTCAGTAAAAAAAAAAGATTTTTTTATGCAACTTACAATGGCAAACTAGCTGACGCTTTGCCTAATGGAAAGTGGTAACCGTCGTCTGTTATGTCCATGAGCAGTACCATGGACATAACAGAGTATACTGTTGCGCCCATGATACCCCCCATGCGTTGCCATTCCTGAGGACTCAGGTGTTATTCCTTTATACCCTGTAAATTCACTGCCACATCCAACCCTTCAAACCGAAACACAGCCATGCAAATAAAACTGCTTCACGGTAGAAACACGAATGGAACAGAAGTGCCAAAGCAAACGACTTTTGTACAAAGTCTCCCTGCTGGTGCCAAAAATGTGGTACGGTAAGGTGATATGGTAATATTACAAAAGTTAGCTTCACACATTTTGTAATTACTGACATGCAACAGTCACTACAAAAGTTATGACAAAATAAAGCTTTATAATAAAATTAATTCTATATTTAGCCATATTTATATAAATCAGAAATTTATATCTATTTTACTACTTAATTGATGGTTGTTTCTATTCTGTGAAAGACTTTTTGAATAGATGTAATTTGTGATACTTGACACTGTAAAGGCATAACATTGACTTATTATTCGTGATTGTAATTTGAAGTTATTGGTTTTGTTGATGTTACTATGACTAATTTTGGATATTATAAAATTAAAACAAAAAAATAAAAAAAACATTTACACACCGAAATGGTAAATATTGCTGAACAATTATAACTTAAGATCTGCTACTGGCAGTCAGCAATATTTTGTAAATAAATTATTATTATTATTTATTATTATTATTACTTATACCTGAATATTTTATTTTTTGTTGTATCGAAACCAATTATATTGATTTAAAAACTAAACTATTAAATTGATTTTAATTAAACATCATATATAATCAACCTGTATGTATATCCTTTCAAATAATAAAGAATTTTTTAAATGGGTTTACCACTGACAGAGTTACGAGGTAAAAAACATAAGAAAAAAATTCGAATTAACAACCTTGTTCTTTCAATTGAAAAAAATCAATTGAAGTTAAAAGAAAAAAAAGTAAAAATGACTACCAGTCAATAATTAGATAAATTATTAAACGACGTAATAACAGAATGGACCCTTGATATCAGCGTTGCTCTTAAAAGACATGGCGTGCAACAAATAGGTTGAATAATAATTGTATCTAGAACTAATCAAGCGAATCCCATACGGGACCTATAATTTGCAATGCAAGATATTGTCTTCACGCTTATTACATTTGTGATATTTCTACTCTCTTTTCGAACAACAATATTGCTAAATACACATTTGAATTAACTTTCTATTAATTACAATTTAATTTAATCCATTTTACATTTATAATTATTATAAAACATATAATAAAAATAATTTATTTTGTATACATGTTAATTTAATTCATTTTAAACGTTTATTTCTCTCTCCACAATATAATACAATTTACTTAATAATATATTCAGTGTATTTATTATGGAGACTGATTGAATATATTCAGTATAGTGCTGAGTTTGTTACAATCATGGCAATAAAGTTATTATTATTATTACATTATTATATTTATTTATCTATTTAAACAACTTTACTGATTAAAAGAAAATATGGTACAAAAGAGAGGCTAAATGCTATTAGTATTTTCTACCAGTCAACCTTTTGGTTTTTGGGTTGAACAGTGATTCACGAAAGCTGTATTTCATTTTTAGGATAGGCAATGATAAATAAGAGTTGATAATGTATACGTATATAATATAAAATGATAATTATAATATATATATATATATATATATATATATATATATATATATATATATATATATATATATATATATATAAGTATAAAGTAAAATTATATATAATATTTTGCTATATTGAACATAAACTTTAAATTTGAGAAACAAAATCGAGTTTTGCTTCGCTTAGTTTTTTAAAATTTAAAATTTTGTGACGAATAACGTCACAAAATTTCATATTGCATATGAAAATACTAAAACAAAAGAATTATCAAAATCGGTTCCTGTTTGGCAATAATCACAATAAAAATATAGAGAAATTGACAATCTCGTTTTGAATGTCACTTAAAAACCGTTATATATCTAAAAATACCTATTCATTCAACTGTTTTGCTATTATGTATCGTATATGTACGGTATAGAGTTGATATTACAATAATAAATACTTCATCCCCAGCTTCCCTATTGAGTCTCAGATCTGATTTGTCGTCCGAGCCCCGCCCAACAATCGCACGATTGTATGATTATTTGTATTGTCGTTGTACAAATATATAAACCTATTTATGGCAATAGAGATTCATATTTGAGGGGTTAATCTACGGTGTAACATGACCCTATGTACGATTAAGCGACTTTACAAAGTAGAGGCCCTTCTTAAATATTTGTGTGTACCATGATATTTTATCTTAACATAAATCTAACACTATATTGGTGATTGTTATAAAATCGATTTAGGGCATAAACTTTAAGCATTTATAATTGTAAATAAACAAAATTATATTATAATTAATTATGATTTATTTATAATTTAATTAAATATTAATTATAATTAATATTTGATTAATTAGTATTTATTTAATTAGTAATTAAATTAAATACGTTTTTGTTAAGAAGCCCTAAATTGAAACATAGTCATGCAAACAGTTGTGTATGACAGCAATACAGATGCAATAAAGAGATACTTTTGTTGCATTAGTTTTAGTAATTTTTGTTACAATATCTCCAATTGCTCGTATTCCAGTATGTTAGTACATATTGATAGCTTCTCTTTCTCTTTCTTTGATTACATTAATATTCTCTTTTTCTAATAATATACAAGTGGTAATACAATAATTTTAAATTACCTTTTAAATTGTTTCAGTGGTCATGCACAAAGAGAAGGAGGATCTGCACGGTCACAGGCGGGAGCACTCCCCATACGACCACGCTATGCCCGACGGGGAGATGTTCTTGCAGGTAATAATTAATATAATCATATTTAATTTATTTGTAATTATAATTTTGTTTAGATTTATTATTGAATCGAAAATAGAATAAATACAGATTTATTCTATTTTCGATTCAATAATAAATCTTATTAAATAAGTATTTGTTAATTGTTATTTTTTTTAATATTTTTTTTTGTCTTATCCCAACCAATCTGTAACAATATCTCAGACGGTTGAGATTCCGAGGCGGCTCACTCCCGGGAATGATGCAGAAAGCGGTGCTCTTAGATTCTGCCCGCATTGTACGCCGGTCCCTGAGGCCCTGAACCCCGGCCGACTGTGCTTCTGCCGGGGGTTAGTTGCCATCTCCTCTCCTTAAGAGGGGAAATGGGAATTTTCTAAAAAAAAAAATAAGAAAAATTGAGAATTATTAAATTTGATTTTAAAAATTGACAGTAAATTTCGAGGAAGCGACACTTCGTCAAGCAGAAGTTATGAGCGATCTTAAGCCACTTCGGCAACGAACGGCGGACAGGCACCAACCACATAACCACATTGCACGCGACAAAAGAAATGCATTAATTTATCATATTTTTCGTAGGCGCAGTGGTTGGGTTGCAATAAATAAATTTTGTAGAACACTGTAATATATCATACGTCGGTGACCCAGTATAGCAATAAATATGGGAAGCATAACCGTTCATATTTTATATTTTTGACTTCGTATCGGACCTGTTTCCAAGGATAAATACGATACGAATATATAATTTAAATGGAGAAAATAATAACACTTAATTATATTTATGGTAAATTGTAAATCTTGTGTGTGTGTGTGTGTGTGTGTGTGTGTGTGTGTGTGTGTGTGTGTGTTGTTTTGTCCTATATTGTATATATTTGAAGATTTTTACTAACATACATTTAGTAAATACCTACATTTCCAGAAAAAATAAGGCACATATATTTTTATGTAGTGATTTTGTAGTGAAAAATTTTTGAAATTAATTCAATGACTATAATCTTTAAATATATGTATAATCTCGCTAGTTGTCGCCCGCCACTTTGTATGCCCGGATTTTAGAAATAGATACCCACTTCTAGATTATGTATCAGGATAAAACATCACATTTTAAATTACATATGGTTAAACTATTAGCAATTGTGTGAAAACCGCATTTCTTTTGAACAAGTACTTTTTACGTGATACCAAAACAAACATAAAGATAGACGTAAAAAAATTCAAAAATTTATTATATGGTATTTATTATTATATACCCAAATAGGGTTTTTTTTAATGGATGATGATGGAATAGTAACCCCGCCTGCGCTATCGGTATACACTGGCGGGGCACCAGTGAGTGATGGGTGAGGATGAAAAGACAAATCAGTTAGTCTGTCATGATGAATACATTTGGAATTCAGCACGATGGTTTCCAGAGGGGACCACGTGGAAGTCGATCTGGTTGGGTATATTACTAGCAATGGGGCCCTTAGTCTCCATTATTAACAATCTTTCCCCTCCTCCCAAAGAGGGTTGACGCAAGGCAGGCGGCCGGTCGTAAAACTATAAGCCAAATCTTTTTGTAATATGGATAAAAACATATTACGTCGACCCCAAGTAATGATTGGGATAAGGGTAGGAAGACGATGAGGACTTCGATTGGCCTTATTAAGAGACCACATATTTTTTCTTAAATATCTTCTTGTACAAATATCTCCTAGTTTTTTTTTTATACCACTGAGGTGACAAATAAGCATACGACCCATCTGATGGTAAGTGGTTACCGTAATCTATGAACAAGTTATGAATAGTTACAATTTTCGTATATTAATGTAATATGAAAGACGTGTGTTAATGGAAACAAACTTGTAACAACGAGTATACACAACACAGTAGGTATACTTCGTAAGTCGATCGTGTACTGCCGACGACTATCGTGAAAACCTCGGTCTCCCCGGAAAAACTTCGGCTCGCTCCGTCGGTTTTTATTACTTCATTTACTGTATGAAATTCGGAATGTTGGCAAATAGGTTTTATTACCGAACTTTTGAATTCCATAATGTTTCGAATTTTTATAGTACTCCGTACAATTAAGGTGACTTAAGTCGGTTTTTTATTTTTTATTAATTGAAATAGAAAATAATGTTTCTTCACTCATCATCATCATCATTATTATCGTCATCACCAGGCCAATAGATTTTATTGCCGAACTTTTGAATTCCATATTCTTTCGAATTTTTATATTACTCCGTACAATTAAGGTGACTTAAGTCGGTATTTTATTTTTTATTTATTGAAATAAAAAATAATGTTTCTTCACTCATAATCATCATCATCATCATCATCAACAACTATTAATTTTGTTTCATACACTAAATTTCACTGCACTTTTATGCGCATGATCAGGATATGTTTAGTGAGATAGAAAGTACCCTATATCCTACTCCGTCCCATCGTTTATACGAAATTTCATAGTGATTAGTAAAGCCGTTAAGTTGTTAAAAAGTAACAAACAAACTTATTTTCACATTTATAATATTAGTAAGGAAGTGAGAATAAATGACCAATTCTGTGGCATAGCGATAGGCACTTTGCATAGAGCGGTCCAGGGTTCGATTCTCAGACCAATTTAAACTAAATTGTTTCAGCTCTAGGTTTTTTTTTTAATGGGTGATAATGGAATGGGAACCCCACCCGCGCTATCGATATACACCGGCGGGGCACCAGTGAAGAATGGTAGGTGAGGATGAATCAGGTCAGTTAGCCCAACAAGAATTGTTCACGATGGTTTCCAGGGGAACCAAGTGGAGGTCGACCTTATTAGGCATATTGCTAGCAATGGGGTTGTCAAACTCGATTGCTAACAATCCCTTTCCCTCCCAGCTCTAGGTGTTCTTTGCTAGTTCCTCATAACATTTCAAAATCCTAGCTTGAGTATCAGGTGATTGGTGCGATTATGCGGTACTTTTTTTCCATCATCATCGTCATATCAGCCTTTAACTGTCCAATTCTGAACATAGGCCTCTCCTTTGGGGATATTGCCAGTAGTTACCACGCTTAGCAACCAGATTGGCAACCACAGTCTGGCTTTAGAGATGTTTTAAGAGGAACGCTGCTGCCCATCCCTCGCTCTCCCTTAATCGGCTCATACAATGCCCACGGGATAGGAAGAAGTGGCCTATTCTATGCCGGAACCATACGACCGGTTTTTTTACTTATATATTTTTCTTTGTAGAAATAACGATGATTTGATATGAAGTCAACAATTTGCAGGCACTCAACGGCTTCCTGATGATACTGACGTGCGAGGGCGAGGTGTTCTTCGCGACGCACAGTATCGAGAGTTACCTAGGCTTCCATCAGGTCAGTTTCAAACAATTTTCCAGAGGGAAACTTTATACAAAAGTCATCTGCATGGATTTTTTATGGTTTATAACGGATTGGTAACCCCTTCGTGCTAACGGTATATGCTGCCGGGGCGCTAATGAGGGATGATAGGTGAGAATGAAAAGGCACGTCTATTAGCCCATCGCGATGAATACACCTGGAATTCAGCTCGGTGGTTTCCGGGGGGACCAAGTGGAGGTCGAAATGACAGTCCCTATTGCAAGCAATGGGACTGGCAGTCCGCATTACTAGCAATCCCTTCCCCCCCAATCTGCATGGACATATCTGTCCCACATTTGTTCCTGCCGTGTTTCTTCCAAAAACACCATCAGTAATTTCAGTTATTTTTATCAATTCTGTAACCTTTTTATAAAATAAATTTTATTTGGGAATTTCAAATCGAAATTTACCAATTCCAAGCCGGAATAGACTCTATGGGACACCTTCACCTAATTTAGGGTCAAAATCACGTCGACAAGTATATAAATAAATCACATAGCTACGCTCCGTTTAGGAACTCGATTCACTTCAGTAGTAATTTTTTAACGTCACAAAATATTTTTTGTAACATTCAAACTGAAATGTGCCTAATGAGCACTAAACCGAGCGAGCCTCATAATTAATTTACACAAACCCTTGTAAAATATAACGCAATTTTCCAAATAAATAGCATGACTGTACTATTAATCACAAAAAAAATAAGATAAGGTGGTCAAAGAATTTTAATTATTCGGGTGGAGGTTGTATGAAAAAAAAAATATATCAATTACGCCGCGATAAGTTTAGTAAAGGCAGAAAGTGTTAGGCCCCGTTCACAGTGAAGGTGCCATAAAAATTGGCATATCCACTAATGTGTGTAATAATTATTTTGCTCCAAAAAAAAAAAGTGAATTCGATCGTAAACACACACGTCGACAAACGATGAGATTTTTATAGATAAATGTATAGATAGATAATCTTTATTACCACGAAAAAAAAACCAATTCATTTTGGTAGTAATAGGAGCCGCTTCAGCTGTTGCTATATATGCACACGTCCAACGAGATGTACCTATATAGCGCTGATTTTCAGGCGGCCCCTTAACTTTTTTAACTTTAGCATACGTTCGGGTCGCCAATACCCATCTCTCGGATGGGAGACTCAATACGCTTAACAATTTTTTATAGGTATCACTGCTAGCTTTTGCCTGCTACTTCGTAAATGTAATTTAAAAAATAGTAATACTTAGTGGCTCTAAAATAAACAACTTCTTAGATCACGATGAAACTATACACATTAGTAGTTTTTGCTTGATGCCGGAACAAACATACAGACAATCAAAATTCTAAAAAAAAGTTTGTTTTGGCTTCCATTGCCTTTGTTAAAACTTCTAATATTAGGTTTTCGTTAACATCTTTCACATACGGACATCGTCGAGTTAAAATTTTATTATGTTAGTAAGATAGTCGGAAGAATCATACGGCCTGTCTGATGGTAAATAGCGTAACATTAGCCTGTGGACGTTTGCAGCTCCTGATTTGCCGACTCTTAAGAAACCTTCATCATCATATCCCCATCAGCTGTTAACAGTTCACTCCAGAACATAATTCTGCCCCGTAATTGCGGGTTTGCCAGTAGGTGCCATGTTTGACAGGCAGGTTGACAACCGCAGTTAGGTTTTTAGTGATGTTATAAGAGGGACACTACTGCCCATTCCTTTACCTATTAATTTTTCGTAGTCTAAGAAACCTTATTACGCCATTTTTGAAGAACCCAATGCTGTAGTCTCTAGGAGAAACCTCGGCGGGATGGTCATTCCACAGCCTGAGCGTTAGCGAGAGGATACTCCTTTGAAATCGCACTGTATATGATCAGTTCGATAGATTTTTTTCTTTTTTTTTATACAACTTAGAATGACAAACAAGCTGACGGCCCACCTGATGGAAAGTGGTAACCGTCGCCTATAGACATGAGCAGTACCATGGACATAACAGAGTATACTGTTTCGCCCATGATACTCCCATGCGTTGCCATTCCTGAGGACTCAGGTGTTATTCCTCTGTACCCAGTAAATTCACGCCATATCCTACCTTTCAAACCGAAACACAGTCACACAAACACAACTGCTTCACGGTAGAAACACGAATGGGACAGAGGTACCCAAGCTATCGACTTTTGTACAAAGTCTCCCTCTGGTAGATACCTTCACCGTCACCATTTTAGCCTATAGCTGTAGATGTAAAAGTCAAAATGATGATGATGAAGGTAGACCACTGCTAGATATAGAAATATAGAACTTAGAACATAAATATTTGAATTTAGGACATAAAATCGCGTGTCAAAAAGATTTTGATCCGCAACAAACACTTTCGCTCCACAAAAATATACGACATTTTCAATTGTTATAAATATAATTTGAAATAATTTATGTTGCATTTTTGTATGGTAATGAGAATTAAACGCACGAGAGATGTCATGAGTGTCACAGTGTAGGTATTCTGTGACGACCATGGTGCGTTATATTATTATTACAGATCACCAGATTCCACTGTGTACGTCATCAGTTCTTGCCACATTCTAATTTTTATAATAAATTAAAATTGTAATTTACAAAAAACACCGTCTCCAATTATAGTAAAACCAGTTGTTTTGATTTAAAAACTAAATTACTGAACTGATTTTGATAAAACTTCTATGAGAACAATCTATTATTATAACCTTTCAGATAAAAAAAAAAGAATTTTTCAAATCGGTTTATAACTGACGGAGTTATGATACACAAACATAAAAAAAAGAAATTCAATCGAATTGAAAAATCACCATATTTTTTAAGTCGATTGAAATTAAAAAAAATTATGTATTGTATGAACAGGCCCGTATATTTCACCTTTTCCTCTATGTGAACGTGCCTTTACTTTATTAAGCTGCTTTAGTTTATCGTTGTGACATTTTATCGGACTCATTTCAGTGGACGAAATAAAGTGCGAGTCGGCAATTAAAATGGTTAAATGTTCCGTATATAGTGATTAAAATAGTTAGTGCTTTGTGTACGACATTCAGCCATATTTAACGAGGCTTTGTTTAAAAATATAGCTATCATTTATTAACCCTAGCCGCCTAGAGGTCATCTTGAAGTTCCTCACTTAAACTTCATCATACCATCATATCAGCCTTTAACTGTCCACTGCTTAACATAAGCCACCCCCTTGGGGGGTTTTGCCAGTACTTGCCACGCTTGGCAGGCCGGTTGACAACCGCAGTTAGTCTAAAGAGATGTTTTAAAAGAGACAATGCTGCTCGTCCCTCGCCCACGACACCTACGGAAAAGGAAGGGGTGGCCTATTCTATGCCGGGACCACACGGCCACTTAAACTTGCTTTTTTTTTATAGAACTTAGAATGGCAAACAAGCTGACGGTCCACCTGATGTAAAGTGGTAACCGTCGCCTATAGACATGAGCAGTACTATGGACATAACAGAGTATACTGTTTCGCCCATGATACCTCCCATGCGTTGCCATTCCTGAGGACTCAGGTGTTATTCCTCTTTACCCAGTAAATTCACGCCATATCCCACCCTTCAAACCGAAACACAGTCATGCAAACACAACTGCTTCAGGGTTGAAACATGAATGGGACAGAGGTACCCAAACAATCGACTTTTGTACAAAGTCTCCCTCCCTACTTAGTAATCATTTAAGATTTTGTCGACAAAAAAAAGATCAATTTATTTCAATAATAGCAAAATTAGTTATTTTAATTCCAAAATTACTGAAGCGATGTTGATAATATTTCTAGGATTCCAATTTAAAAATATGTCCTTTAGAGTAACAAAAAAAAATTATCGAAATTCATTCATAAATGACAGTGTTATAAGGTAACAAACATACCGAAGGAAAAAATACAATCGAATTGAGATCCTCCTTCTTTTCAACCTACTTTAAAAAAATACAAGCTTTATTTATTTATTTATTTAACTCTTTATTGCACCATAAATAAAAATATACAATAACAAGTGAATAATTCAAATGAAATACAGTTACACTCTAAAAGGTTCTCAATTTAATTCTATTTTTTTTTTAATGTTTATTACATGTAACTTCGTTTAATATTTGTAAAATCCTTTTATTTATCTTTTATTTTACTTACAGATTAGTTTCATAGAAATTTTATCAAAATCAGTTTAGTTTTTAAATGAAAATTACTAGTTTTACCACAATCGAAGTCTGTTTTTTGTTTGTGGAACCTAATTATTAAATTGGTTGTAAACCAATCTCGCCATCAATAAATAACGTTACTAATGTTTTTTTATTATTTAATTTAATTTTTAATTTAATTTATTATTTTGATTTTTAATTATTTACCATCAATAAATAAGTTTAACTAATATAATTGCGAATAGATTTGAATTAAAAATTAACATTACACACGGAACCCTAAACATAACGAACACATTAAAGCCCTCTCGTTATGAATGCTAATAAAGTTCCCCGTGAATTATTGGTATCAAATGTAAAAACCCCCGATTTGGACGGCGAGCGCACTTCCCTCGCTATAAAACTTTCACTTGGCTCCGATCGTATTTAAGGTTTATTGTTTCCAACCCCCGAGCGGGGTTCTGTTTGTGTCAAAAGTAGCCGGCCAATTCATGGTTACCTGAGTAACATTATCGACAAAGATTATATTTCCGCAGAGAGACAACTCCATATAATCGTAAGTTAAAAAATTAAATCGTAACTGGTATGTTTTGTATCTAATATATTATAAAAATTTTTAAATTGTAATTATTTAATTTAAAATGATAAATCGTGTATGTATATATCATCAAATTTTTTTACTAATAATGAGTAAAATTATCTCTAAATTCTTCTGTTTCGCCAAAGGTTGACTGGGAGAGAATGCTATATAGTATTAAGTCTGCCTTTTGTACCAGACATTTTTTTTTTAATGTGGTAACAAAGAATAAAAGAATAAAAAAAATATAAAAACGCAGGATTTGTCTACGTAAAGAATAATAACGGCTACTTTAAATTTTACAAAATTAATATAAGAATAAAACGCAATCAGATCCTATCAAATGCCCTCTAGTCCTGGCATAAAATGGGCCACCCCTTCCTTTCCCGTGGATATTTAAAGGAACTAAGTGTGGAAACTATTATCAAATAATATTTATTTCCAAATCAAATAAATAAATAAATAAATAAATATATATATATATATATATATATATATATATATATATATAAAGTAGTGTGTTCTAATTCCCTAAAACAAAATTACACTTTTAAACCTACAACCCAAAAGCGCATCTATAATTAAATCTATGGTCAAAACTCACCACGGGGGTTGCATGCGATTAAAGAGAATCGATTTTGGAAATCATTAAATCGGTTGGTTATTTGGATTCTAGCATTGTCTGCCACGTGTCAGTCAACGTGCTAGGGACTAGTAAATTACCGTGACAGAATGGTAAATAGCAAAATTTCCGAATTTAAATAGAGTTGTAAATTTTTTAGACTGGTTACTTGATTAGTATTATTTTATTTTATTCCACTACCATTACCAGAGGGAGACTTTGTACAAAAGTCGTTTGCTCGGGCATCTCTGTCCTATTCGTGTTTCTACCGTGAAGCTGTTGTGTTTGCACGGCTGTGTTTCGGTTTTAAGGGTGGGATATGGCAGTGAATTTACAGGGTACAGAAGAATTACACCTGAATAAAAAAATTTTTCTTTTCCTCAATAGTATGGAAAAAGAAATTGTTTATTTGTTACCTCTTGGTAGCTTAACAGTTTAACCAATATTTATGTTATTTGGGATATGCATATTATTTAAGACGAAGAAAGACACATTCTGATCTCAGTCAATCAAAATGCACTTCTGTCTCTTTTATTTTAATCAATGACAACATTAATAGTCCAAAACTCAATACTGAATCATTACTAGTAAATGAAACTTTAAAAATCCGATTAAACTATCTGCTTTAATTAAAGCCCCATTTATAAAGAGCTCCGGTAAAACATCAAACCATTAGCCATAATGCGCGATCGATAGCCGACCACCTGGCGGGCGAGTCTGAAGCTAATAATCAAGGATTCGAACCCCTTTTGTTTTACCATAGTATAAATAATGGTAGTATTCCCTGCCTCTCCCTCGAGCTGACTTCAAATCTTGTCCATATCCCGAATATGTCTTCTAAAAACAAGATGTTTAAAAAATGTTATACCTACTTCGTTTTTTTTTTTCATTTATGCCACTGTGAATCGCATGATTCTTGCTTTCAAAAAAAAGGACGCATTATGATTTGTGCCGCTTCGACATAACTGTAGTTTTAGACATTTCCACGTGTACAGGCGACATTAATTTATAGTATATACCGAAACATGAATCGCAAGGTTAAGGTTTAAAATTTATTATTGTGTTTTGACTCATTTTTAGAAAAAATGTTTAGTTTCATTACGCCAATAGTTTTAATTTCATTGTCTAGAATTGGTAGTGACAATCATGTAAAACGTTACACATTTTTTGTTTAAGTGATGTAATAAATCCAGATGTAAATTTACTAGCTGATTTACATATAGTATATATATCATATAGGTATGGTAATTTCAGCAAACGATAGATAACGATTGATATGATGGTAATGGTAATTCATATCATACGCCCCTAAAACAAAGTCTTTAACAAAGCAAATAAAGAGAACTGAGTGTCAAAGCTCCATATAAATCTGTAGAAGTAGTCTTATCGTTTTAATTATTTAGATCACTTCAGGCTTTATACAATGACAACCTTTTGAGACATATTATACTTATCCGATTTTTAAAATAAGTTGTCAATTCTGAGACTGGAATATTAAACTATCCTTATTATCAAAATACTTTATTTTCGTAGTATTTCTACTTCCTGTCCTACTTTAGAGTTAAATTCAGCCGTAAGAAAATAAAAATACGCATAAAACATCATTACAGTCCATCAATCATCGATATAAAAAGAATACAAACGCAACAACTATCGCCAAAACAAAGGCATATCAGCAAAACATCGACTCAAACCATAGCAACCGCGCCCTACCCCCAAAAACGGAGAACAAAAAGCAATTACCTAACAAATCATCCTCTGACGTTTAGTGCCATCGCAATATGTTCGAACTCACATTGTGCACCAACCAAACCCCATTTTTGTATCTACTTTCGGGGTATGTTTTTGAATCATTCATTTACATGTCAACATCGAAGAGGGGTCCCAGTATTGTGCCTTGAGCGACCCCATTGATTATCAATTAGTTTTGTACTCGCATCATGTGTTGTTGCCGCATTATCCACACTGTTTACACGGTTCTTTATTATATGACTTGTTAAAAATGAACGTGTACCGATCACAGTCTAATTTAAACTCTATACCATCAGTGTAAGGCCGTCTTTCTCTTAATGGAAGTCAGAAATTAACACGTCCATCTTCGTTACAGATGATTCTTTAATGATCGAGTTTGAATCGATTTTTGGGGTTATCAGTGCTTTATTGATTTACGGTCCGATTGATGACTTGTTCTTTTTGCTTATAAATATTTTTCCTCTATATTTAATAATTATCTTGTTATCCTGTGATCGTATTAGTCAGGTTGTAGTTAGTTCAGCTTTGATATAATTAGTCTGATTACTAACTGCTTAATTAGTGTCTATTTTTTATTATTAGCTTTATTTTGAATGTTCCCATTAGATATATCAAATTATAATAAAGTGGTATTATATTACCAAATAAAAAAAATACATTAGTTGAAGTAAATATATTAAATTACTGTAAACAAGTTAACTGATAATAAATTATACTAATAATAAATTACCTTAAAAAATTATAAGAAAAAGGAACAAATCCCTGATCTATTTTAACGTATCGTGATGTCATTAACGATAGTATTATTTAGTAGATAAGCCTGACTACAGTTGCCAATCCGCCTGCTGAACGTGGCAACTACTAGCAGAACCCTCCAAGGGGGAGGCTTATGTTCAGCAGTGGACTGATATGATGATAATAATAACTGCCTAACTAAATAGCTAAATGTATACATTTAAATTCATTGCATATAATTATTTTAACCAATAATAGCATTATTATGCTGCAACATGAGGCTATATTACTTTTAAAAATATGGAAATATACTTATTATAAATTTATTATACTAACTATATATATAGATAAAACGAATTTTATATTCGTTTATGTATAATATAGTGTAGTTGTATTGTTATTGTATTATTATTGTACGTATCTATATAGGTATATCTTGTCTGTTAAGTGTGTATATGTTTGTGTGCATTTATGTATGTGTGTGTGTATGTATGTATGTATGTGTATATGTATATATATATATATATATATATATATATATATATATATATATATATATATATATATATATATATATATATATACGTTTGCTGTCGTCGTTCGTAATGTCACGTATGGGCACCACAGAATATCAGCGCTGTAGCAATTAAATTGCTGCAGCACATGCTGAGTGGTGACCACGTTGGCAATAATAAATGTAAAGTTTTTTTTTTAATTCATAATTTATGTAACTTTTTGTTGTTGTCAATAAATGTTTTCTTTCTTCTTTCTTTCTTTCTATATTATTACAAAAGGGTATATAAAAACTTATCAGAGTACAAAAATTAATACCAATAACTTTGTTTTTCTGTTTCCAGTCGGACATAGTCCATCAATCAGTGTATGAACTCGTCCATTCAGAAGATCGGGAGGAGTTGCAGCGACAATTACTGTGGAACTCGTTCCTTCCTCCAGAAGTTAGTAACTTGACCCTCCAAGACGTTTTAAGGCCCGACAGAACTCACCTGCTAGAAAGAAGTTTCACAGTTCGGTTTAGATGTTTATTAGATAACACTTCAGGTTTTTTGGTAAGTTTGATTTTATTATCGAATTAATTAATAGATTATATACTTTAATACAATTATAAATAGAAAACATTAAGGGTTATACAATTCCAATATTGTATAAGAAACTGAACAATGAATATTTGATTTTATCTGACAGAATTTATCTTGTAATTTATAAATAAATAACTAATTATTAATTGATAATGACTTAAGACATAGCTAAAACTGACATTTCTGAAATTTTATTATTAAACTATTTATTAATTAATTTTACAATATGAATATAAATATTTATAAACTATAGAATATAATAAATAACTATATAATACTAATAACAATTACGATATGAATAGATACACACCAATACTTAAATAATGAATAATAATAACAATAATAAGAAAATACGTACCTATCGTGATACAATTTCAATGACTGGATAATATTGTAACAGATCCTTAGACTATTTTTAAAGTGAAATAGTGTTGTCCTCCTCTCTCGTACTTGCTGTGCCCAACAGGGTCTATAATTGAAATGTCAACTACAAATTATATTATGGAATGCAATAAGAAATAAATAAATAATCTGATAAGTGTTAAACCAGGATTTTATTGAAATTTCTTTGGCCAAAAATCGAATCTTGCTCATTCAACAATAACGAATTTTGCTTAATTTGCGTAAAGCAATTAAATAAATACTTTATTGTAAAACCATCGTTATTTAACTCTGTAAGCCAAAGGTCGTTTTTTTGCAATAGAAAACCGATTACAAAGCAATACCCACCATAAACCGATTTCATTCACGAATACCTTATATTAAGTAATATTACGACCCAAATAAATTTATTTGCGAGTTTACACTATTTTTTACTCTATCATTGTGTGTTAGATGAGCTTCCAAGTGCGAAACTTCGCGTAGTGGACTTAATAAAATAATTATGTCTTTTAACAGAGGCTAGATATCCGGGGTCGAATCAAAGTACTCCACGGGCAAAACAAGAAAACTGAAGAACCTCCTTTGGCGTTGTTCGCAATATGTGCACCGTTCGGACCTCCGAGCCTGTTGGAAATACCACAGAAGGAGGTCATGTTCAAGAGCAAACACAAGCTCGACCTTTCTCTAGTCTCAATGGATCAAAGGTAAGTATAGATCGTATGAATTTAGACGAACACTTCATCACAGCGACAATAATCTTTTCGATATCGCGCCACAACGATGGATCGTACTACATCCATACACGGTAGACCGGCCACGCTCGCGTACATATAAGTTTGCCAACTCTTACGTGAACTGTACTGTAATGTGAAATGACTTTTCCTGTGACGTGTTTACTTCATCCTGTAATCTCGGATCCTTCAAACGTAGCGTGAAAAGCACTTAGTGAAGCGGCATAGTGCGGCCAACTATCGATAGTCAATCACTCTCTTTTCAGTTGATCATATTTATGGATGATCATATTTATGTTTCTATATTCATTCAGAACGGTATGATCACATGCTATAATAAAAAAAATATTTATTTTGAAAATGGTTTATTAAAATTTCTTTACTAATAAAGCTATTGATGTTACCAATATTTGGTTTTATAAAACTTCTAATTGTCAACCAACTTCAAAAAGAAGGAGGTTCTCAACTCGGTTGTATTTTTTTTTATTGCCTCATAATTCCGTTAATTGTAAAGCGTAAAAAATATGAAACGGAAAGTGTGTACTTACAAATTAGTCCCAAAGGAATTCTATCAATTCATTACTTTAGTTTTAAAATAAATATAACTGATTTTGCCACTATCAAAATCAGTTTTTTTTTTGTAAAATACAATCTTAATTTTTTTTATACCACTGAGGTGGCAAACAAGCATACGGCCCACCTGATGGTAAGTGGTTACGGTAGCTTATGATCACCTGCAATACCAGAAATATTACGCGTGCGTTGCCTCAAAACTCCAAAATTAAAGTGATTTGAATTTTTTTATGATCTGAAAGGATTTACTTTTAAATTAGTCCTATAGAAATTATATCAAAATCGTTTGAAAATTAACATACAGTTCTTGTAAGTTTATTAAATATCCTAACTGTTCTTTTCAGGGGTAAAATGCTGCTAGGATATACAGATGCAGAATTAGCAAATATGGGTGGTTACGATCTAGTGCATTATGATGATCTAGCTTACGTGGCTAGTGCTCATCAAGAATGTGAGTATTTTGTCAAATCACATCTGATATAGAGAATTTTACTTCTTGGTCTGCTTTGGCTGTACGAGTACATATAAGAAACGATGATACAAAATGCATGATACGAAAGGTAGAATATTAACCACAGAAGGACAAAATCGCTTCCAATCCTTATTTTAGTGTAAAAGATGCTGAGGAGTTATCAATTTAATATTTAAAGTTTAATTTTTTCAATTTAAGTTTATTTTTTATTCTATTAAACTCCATCTTTCTTTTGGAGTGCATCAACTTTTCTTATTAAGGTTAAATGCCTGCAAATAATTTCTGCATAGAACTGTATAAAACTGAATAAAACTGTAAGAATATCCAATATGTGCATTACATGTATCATCATCAACATCTCAGCCATTGTCTGTCCACTGCTTTACATAGGCCTCCCCCATATTTATAATACTATAAAATTATAAAATGTGAGTATGTTCCTCTTTCCAGTATTGAAAACAGGTGCTTCCGGCATGATCGCGTATCGCTTCCAGACGAAGGACGGACAGTGGCAGTGGTTGCAGACTTCATCACGACTCGTCTACAAGAACTCCAAGCCCGACTTCGTTATCAGCACACATAGGCCTCTAATGTAAGTACCTACACCATTTATATTTACTTCTCATAACTTCTTCATTTGTAGCTACTTTAATTTATAAGATCAAATTTAATATTGGGCTGCACGCATTAAATTTAAAATATGTACCAAAACCCTATGGGGGTTACCAAAACCCCCATACTTTGTACCTGTAAGACAGAAACATCAAAACATGAAAGGTAATTATTAGGTCTATTAAACAGTTGGTATAGCAAATCAATAGCAACGATGCTAAAGTAACTATTATATGGTAAAAGTAATTACATAAACATTTGATATATTAAAAATAGAAAATTCTAAAATTGACTTATTTATTTCAGGGAGGAAGAAGGTAGAGATTTATTGGGGAAGAGAACAATGGACTTTAAAGTCAGCTATCTAGATACAGGACTCACCAGCTTGTACTTCTCAGAAACGGAACAGCTTTCTGGCTGTGAATCCAACGTGACAACTCCACCCAGAGCTGCGAGAAGATACAAAACTCAATTAAGGGACTTCTTATCGACTTGTCGAAACAAAAGACGTATGCCGACAACGCCTGCTCCTCCACCCGTTGAATATTTAGCAGCTGACGCTGTCGCGGCAGCATATACGAACTTAAATGGAGCATATACGGCACCTTATGGAGAATATCCGCCCGCTCCAGCTTTACATTACGCTCCACCGCCTCTAGACGACAGATTTTTAACAGCTGACAATCTCTTCCATCAATATAAACCTCTTTCTTACCATTACACGCCTTATGCACCTAATGGTTTCCTGGAACCAGCTCCTCCTCCTGGATACGAAGTGGCTCCAACCTATCATAGGCCACCATCTAGGGAATATACTTATGTAGATAGTAGCGGAAGATATATGAGTCCAGTTACGGGTCAGGAAAGAAGGTCTCCTAGCATCGTGCCCGGGCCAAGTCCAGGAGGATCTAGTGGGTCGACAGAGCAAGAAAGAATGCAGCAGACGCAGCCTTCTGAAATGCCCCGGCAGACGGTGCTGATGTGGGGAGCCGGAGGGGCAGCACAAGAGGTCCCCGTCGAGTACTCCCCGCCACAGGTTTGGCGTTACCATCCATCTCATTATCACACTGCTGAAGCGACTCAGTGATTTTTTTGTGCAATGTTCAAGTTTTACTATTCGTTCATAAACTATTTTGTTTTTTGTTTAAACAATTATTAGTCTCAAAAATTTACAATATTTTAACAAATTTCAAAAATATTTAAATACGTTCCTAATTTGTTGTGTAATTATTTGTTATTTTTGGTAATTTATTTATATTTAAATATTCTAATAGCTGATCAAACTTTTCTATAATCTAAATTATTTTATATTTATATCATTGTGAAAACAAAATATTTTTGAATTTTGTTAAATTTATTGAAATTTTAATTTGCAGCGACAAATTATTTGTTTGTACACATTTCTTTAGAAAATTAATTATAAACACAAGCGTGTTACTTGTTACCAAATTAATTTTCTAACTTTTCCAATACCTCGCCCAGTGGTTTAGGTTATTAAGACCTCTGTTGCTCTAAAGGTCTTGTAAAAACAGGGTCCTTCCATTCTCTGTAGATATCTTAGAATTATTGTATATTGTAATCGAGAATTTTATCCAAATATTTTAAATTGATAGTCGATTTTGATAGATAATATCACGCAATGCAATGTTACACAATTAGTCTTAGAAGATGTAAATATTTATTTTGTAACAATTTAAGCTTTGGCTTTGTATTGAATGCTTTGTGTGAGCTTGGAATTTGTTTGGTTGCAATGGAGCAAAGTCCTTCAATCATTTTGGCTGATTTAGACTTCACATCAGTATGTAAAATATTTATATCTTCAACAGAGATAAATGTATGTAAATTACGTTTCTATATAATTGTTATTTCGATATAATTATTTATTATCCTCTAGTTGTTTTAAAAAAAGCGTCTTTCCAGCAAAAATAGACAAGACTACTTTACTATCCAATAACTACTTTCGACTTACAACTAACTTCATAAAGCGTTGAAAATAAAACCACCTGTAAAGGATTGAACACAATTACAGTTTTACTAATGTAAACGTAATGTAAATCTTCATATCTAGACTCATTACGAGCTTCTATATCTTAGGACTTCATTTTGTATGTGATTCTACCACACGTAAAAACTTTCTGGCTTTTCTTTTTTAAAGAATATCGATAACTAAATCAGCCATTGAAATGAAACAATTTACACTGCCAACAATAACTTAATCATTATTATATAATAGTTCCATTTCTTTTGTTCCACTTGGATAACTAAATTTGATAACCGTGTCTATAACCATGATTTTTGGTTGTTTTCCTTAGCTACAAAGCTGTTAATCCTTACTTTTATTTGTTCCTTTCCATATGTATAATTTTTATTAAATAAAAATGTTTTTTCACTTATTTGGATTCAGATCAAGTTAGCAAATCATTGTTCGTCCACTAAATGTACTTCTTCTTCAATCTATATTTAATGTAAATATACGAAAAAGCATTTTACTGTATATTCCAAAAGCATTCTTACGATACGTACTTTCTTGTACGATATTCCAACATCCTCTTAAATCCTGAAAACTTCTTTGTTTCAACCATTGTTCGTTTCTGTCTCAAGTTCAGTTCATACCTCTTAGAACTCCAATTTTAGACTCCCTCGGTTATCACATTTAGTTCGTCGAATATATTAGGTAAATAGGTAACAATATTGTTTTTATTTTTTAAAGAACAAATTCAATAAATTCATTTTATAGCTTTGCTCATTTAGAACTCATTCAGATATAAACAAAAACTATCAATGATTTAATGTCATCTAGCTAAAGGACCAAACTGTATGCAGTTTTAATAAAATGTCTCAGGGCTTCACAACATCATCTCATTTGCTTATATCTGCATATAACTTTAGAGATATGATTGATTGAAATGATTTCTAGAATGAGAACGATACATATCAATATGTAAGCATGTATTATGTATAAATCTTTGTCCAGATCAGAGTATCTTTAACAAGCTTTTTTCGTATCTTTTTTAAAAAATGTTTCAATGTCCACTTTATGTCCAAGAACATTTTGAGTTCTTGTTTCATGTAAGAGGTAATAATTTGTTTCTCTGTACAAAACGTTTCATTTTGTATTGCATTAAAAAATAAAAGATATAATGCATTAAATGTAGCACTACTTTACATAATTGTATTCACATTATATACAGTACAGTCGTCTCCAAAAAAATAAGAAAACTATAAACTTATTTGTGGAGGACAAGTAATAAAAAAAATTTGACAAGTTATTGCACTTTAAAATAAAAATTGTAATTAATTAATAGATGAGTGAATGGATATATTTGTTTGCTTAAATACAGGAAACAATTTAACAATAGTTTTTATAACCTTTCATGGAAAATATTGAAAAGCTGACGAGGAGTTTGAACTCCCTGTTTCAGAGCTGAGTTGCAGGGATCGATTTTGGATCCATTTGAAACATGAGCTCTGCAATGATATTTGGGAATTTTCCCGCTCAGTTCTACAGTTTTTTTTTATAATACAGTGTGTTCAGGTTTAAAAATTGGGTTATAATTTTTTAAACTGACCCTATTAAAGAGGTTATTTACAATTCAACTGTAATTTTTATTAGATTAGTGGAGACTTAACATCACGTGTTTCACTCCAGTAGTAGAGACTATCTAACCACTTAATCACATTATCAATTTAGTTTTTAATTTCCGGTATTTTTGATTTTTTTTATTAAGGGACGGCTGTACATGCAAAAGCACTGCCATGCCAACGTTCTGAAACCGTAGCACCTATGTAAATACACTTTGCGTGCCTTCCCCTCCTGTTTAGACTTCCATTTTTTTTAATATAATATCTAAATATAAATATATTTATAATAAATATATAATTTCATTGTGCTACAGTGACCGGCGCGTTGGTACGGCAACTTGCGAGGGAATAACGGAAGATTTAGATGTTAAGTTAGTCTAATAACCACAAGATGGAGAGTTTTCGTCTTTTTACTAAGCAAAAAACATAGGAATAAATGGATTAGGTAGATGTGACACTCATATACTTTTTTTATTTAAATGCCGCCAAAATGTACCCTTCTGCCCTTCAAACTCTTTGCAAGTCGGAAGGGTTGTCACAAATTTGTTCGCATTTAAGAAATAATTATACGATATGACGCATAACTCATGAGACAAGTGTGAACGAGGGAAACACACTCACTATCTATTGCTTGCAAGCCCTAATTTAGCTCTTTAAAAATCAGGGCGTCGGCACACCAAAGGAATTATTATTATTCAATCTATGAAAGTGTTGTTTCTACCTTCATATTTATTCTTATACAAAATCAACATTATCACAGTCACTTTTTATACAAAAAATTAAATAGCGTGTAAAAATATTTCTAAGAAATATTTCACGTATTTGTTTTACACTTATATACATAAGAAATTCTCTCTTTGTGATTTGCTCATGTAGCATTGCAGCACTGAATTTACCACAGACAAACTTTTAAATAAATATCACACACAACGAACTAAGACAGTAACGGGTCTACCATGAATAAAATTCCGAAGTTTCGCATTCGAATTTAGAACGTACGATGAAACATGTTCATATGAACGAAAATTAAGCCTGTAAATAGTAAGCCTTCCGCATCAAACTAATTTATTATTATATTACGTCATTATTTCTACAAACAATATTTTATGAGGATTTTGTGATATGTGGGAGATAATAAAAATAAGTTTTTTAAATGTGTAAGCATTACTGAAAAATTTTACAACAACTTATTTATTTGTACGTTTTCATATTTAAAAAAGTTCAAATGTTACAAGTGACATTTTTAAAAGATACAAAATGTAATTTATTACAATATATGATTATTTGTATTTATTTGGAAAAATTATGGTAGATATACTATTATACGTTTATTCTCCACCTTCTTTTTTTTTTATAAAATGTTTACACAATAAAAAATCCATCTTGTCAATGTAAAGGGTATATTACACTATCAAATATATATAAAACATATATATCTGTTTATTAATTTATGAAAATTTTAATACATTATTAAAAATTATCACTTCAGAGCATTGTTTTTTTACAGAATTTTGTACTACATAAGATATACAAGTGAAATTACTTCCTTACTGCTCTCGCATAGCCAAATAAGAAACGTATCTGTCGGCGAATACATTAAGGAAATGAGCAAAATGCGAACATTAATGTTTCGCTCTCTCTTAAGCACGCGGTAGCGGCAACGTAGCTATCGATACATAATTTTTATTATCTTGTCAGGGAGGAGTTGTATTTATAATAGTAAAATGTAAATTTAATATTTAATAGTGTAATTTGCCCTAATAATGTAATAATTATCCATAAAAACCTGCTTGCTTCTAAAGGTGAAATGTAATTTTTTTTTTATTATGTACACGTGAGAAATGACGATCTTTATCTTCCATATTGATTAAATATTCCAAATATTGTGCAAAATATTGTACAGTTATTATAACGTATTGCTAAACAAATTTTGGGTTAATACAAAAGCAATTTCAAATTTATTTATTTATTCTTTATTGTACACAAAAAATTACAACATATAATATATATAAAGTAAAGATGTACAACAGGCGAGCTTAACTCTGCAAGAGTTCTCTTCCAGCAAACCCTGATTTTTGTTTCTGTGATTTGTTATTTATTTATTATATTTATTTATATAAATTGTAATGGTAATAAATAAAATAAAATATGTAAAATGTATTTTAATACTAATTGTATTATTACTTACACTTTGCTCCTCTGAATATAATAAAATAAATAATTTATTTGAACATTGATATTAACATTTGAACGCGTTTATAAAGAAATAAGGTTTTTTTAAATTATTAATTAAATTGTAAATAAATAATTAGGTTAAATGCTTAAATTTGTATTATTAATTAATTATTCATAATAATTTAAATGAACATATAATTAAGGTAAATATATTCAAACAATTTCTGTATTTATTTTAGCATAGCATAATTATATGTAATTAAAAGAAAATCAAATAAATTTTTCATGCCACTGATGTATTTTTTTTTTTTTTTATTAAGCAACTGTTACTCATGACTTTATCAACCGACTTCTAAAGGTTAAAGAAAGGTTCTAGATTCGATTGTATTTTTTTTTAACCTTTGTTATCTCATAACTCTGTCAGTTTTTTTTTTTGATGCGTGAAAATGGTATGGTAACCCCGCCTGCGCTAACGGGATACGCTGGCGGAGCACCAGTGAAGGGTGATAGATGAGAATGAAAACAGGCCAGTTAGCCCATCATGATGAATCCATCAGGAATTAACCATGATAGTTTACAGGAGGAACCGCGAAGAGGTCGACCTGGCTGGATATATTGCTAGCAATGGGATTGTCAGTCTCCATTACTAACAATCCCTTTCCCCCCTAGCTCTGTCAGTTGTGAACCGATTTGGACAATTCTTTTTGTTTATTTAAAAGGATATACTTAAAGATTAATACCTGGTTGAAATTTTTATTAAAATCGATTTAGTAGTTTAGTTTCTAAATCAAAATGGTTTTGCCATAATCACTTAGTTTTTTTTTTTTGTAAAACTAAATTTTTTTTATCTCCATGACAGCTCATTTGGACAGTGCTTGACCGCGGCCTTGAATCTAATCCTAGGCTAAAATAAGAACTCTCTTATGCTGAAACCTCTGATTTTCCCAATTAATATTTTGAACAATCCAAAAATGATTGTGAAAGAATGCTTCGGAGAGCACGTACAAAAGGCTTCTTTCAATTAGTGAAACTGGGATATTTGTCCCGCCTGCACTATCCATATACTCTGGCAGAGCACTATTGAGGGATGACAGGTATTACTGGTATTTTTTTTATAGGTGACAATGGCATGATAACCCCGTCTGTGCTATCGGTATACACTAATGGGGTACCAATGAGCGGTGATAGGTAAGGATGAAAAGGCAGGTCAGTTAGCCCATTGTGACAAATTCAATGATAAATTGGTCACGATGGCTCCCAGGGGGAACCGCGTGGAGGTCGACTTGATAGGGTATATTGATAGCAATGGGGAGTAATCTCGCCATTATTAACAATCCTTTCCCCCCGTATCACTGGTATCAGATAAAAGCAGGTCTTTTAGGCATACCATCTTAGCTTATCCGAAAAGACTTTACTAGCAATATTGTTAAATCCCATTACTTGCATGGGCATAACAGAGTATACTGTTTCGCCCATGATACCCCCCATGCGTTATCATTCCTGAGGACTCAGGTGTTATTCCTCTGTACCCTGTAAATTCACTACCATATACCACCCTTCAAACCGAAACACAACCATGCAAATACAACTACTTCACGGTAGAAATACAAATGGGACAGAGGTACCCAAGCAAAGAACTTTTGTACAAAGTCTCCCTTTGGTAAAATCCCTCTCTTGTATAGTAGTAAATATTGTGCTATTGATTATATTTTCTTTTCTTTTTTTTATGACAAATAGTCCTATGAAAGGTTATCTTTAATATTATTTATATAACAAAATTAGAGTTTCCTAAACTATCCGCTAGGGGCGCCGTCGAGTTTGCAATATAAATTATAGACATAAATACTAACGTAAACCTTGTGTATATACAGCTCATATTAACTCTGTTTTATTTTCATATAATGATATTATCTGTTACTATGTTATAATTATTATTTATATTATGTTATGTTAAATGCCATCTGACGATAAATAATATAACAATTGATTTTTATGAATACCCATTGCTTTGTAGAGTTCTTAATGTTACAAACTGCGCTACATAGATGGCGTTAAATAAAATATATGCTATTGTAGTACATGTGTAATTATCAAACGAGAATTTCGTTATTATAAAATAATGAAATTTTGAATAGATGTCTTTTAATTTGATAACATTTACTTCCGTGTTTAATGGATAAAAATGGAATATTAACTTCGCCTGCGCTACTATTATACTGGGATGATAAGGATGTAACAGGTCTGTTGACTCATCGTGACAAATGATCAATGATTAACTACGATAGTTTCCGGAAAGAATCATGCGGAGGACGACCCATAAGGTTGCTTTGCTAGTAACAGGGCTGTTATACCCCATTTCTATCAATCCTTTTCCCCCTTACTTCTATGTTTGATTTATTGGGTTCTCTTTTGTTTTAAAGAGGTATAAATTTTAAATTACGAAAATTGTACTAAAGTGAGTCTTTATCAGCTGCCACTCGTAGCAAAAGGGGACCTAGGATCTCCTTCAGGTCGTCCTCCCATCTTCGCACTTTATGACCTCGGTTCCTGAAGCTCTTTACTAATATTATAAATGTAAAGGTGAGTTTGTTTGTTACCTCATATCGTCTTAATCGCTATAAAATTTATCCCATTCAGAGAACATATCCCGGTCGGGAGAAGGGATTGATAGTAGTGGAGAGATTAGTCCCCATTGCTAATATATATAGGGGATAGGGTTATCAGGTCGACCTCCACGCGCTTTCCCCTGGAAACTATCGTGACTAATTTATCGTTGAATTCGACACGGTGGGATAACTGACCTGCTTTTTCATCCTCACCAATCATCCCTCACTGGTGCCCTACCAGCATATACCAATAGCGTATGCGGGGCAGCATTCCATTTTCACCTATTATAAAAAATCCCGGCCACGTGGACGAAGTGACGAAGTAAAAGCCAATACTTAATAACTGCATAAATTAGATGCCGGACTCAGTGCATAAAATGGCTTATTTAAAATAATTTATACAAAGCTCATATTTTTAAATACATTGTTGCGTTATTCTCAAATGAGTTCAAAGGCTTTTGTCTATTAGAATAAATAAATAAACAAGACGAGAGAGCGCGTGCCGATATTAGTAGCGAGAAAGAATATATACAGAGATGATAATACCACCTAAAAAATAATAAAATAAAATAATTTAGAACTAGATATATCACAAATACAAAGCGACATCTAGTCCAAACCTAAGCAAAGCAAACAACCGGTATACATTTTATTTAAATATTGTTTAAAAAAATCATCATCATCGTCCACTGCTGAGCAATTTGCCTTCGTCAAAAGGAAGGTTTAACAACAGTTACTACGCTTGGCAGGCGGATTGGCAACAGAAATTAGTCTTTGTTGATGTTGTAGGAGGGACGCTGCTGCCCATTCCTCGACCATTACCGTAAAACGGGGTTACTTTGGCACCGGGGGTAACTTTGGCACATGAGTCATTTACTTTGTTCTTTTTATTTTTTTTATTCCCGAATTTTCAGGTTCCTTTCCTTGTTACAGGTCTAAACTGTCAGAATTTATTTTTAATTTTTTCTGTATTATTGCAAGTTGTTGTAAAGGTTTATTATTTTTGAATTTTTTTATACAACTTATGGCAAACAATCTGACGGACCACCCGATGGAAAGTGGTAACCTAAATATAATAAATTGATCGGAAGCTCGATTAAATTCTATTATTTCTTTATATAGAGATATGATACATGTAACAACGTAAAATATATATTTCTACTCATTATATACACTTATATACTATTATATATATACACACATACAGTCGATTGCTTGGGTACCTCTGTCCCATTCGTGTTTCTACCGTGAAACAGTTGTGTTTGCATGGCTGTGTTTCGGTTTGAAGGGATTTGGCAATATTGAAGGATGGGATATGGCGTGAATTTACAGGGTACAGAAGAATAACACCTGAGTCCTCGGGAATGGCAACGCATGGGAGGTATCATAGGCGAAACAGTATACTCTGTTATGTCCATGGTACTGCTCATGTTTATAAGCAACGGTTACCACTTTCCGTCAGGTGGGTCTTCAGCTTATTTGCCATTCTAAGTCATATAAAAAAAAACATAAATACATGGTCATGGGATGGACATTACGCTAATACCATTTTATGTTATCTATTAAAAACAGACCTACGGAATTAAGAGAAAGTGGTAATAGCCGCTCTATAGATGCGATTCACGGTCGAGATGATTAAAGCTATGAGTCCGCTGTACACGGCGCTGTGTTCGGCTGATGTACCGAACAGCTCACTGCGAACGGAGACTCCGCACTGATCGCACCAGACAAGTGTTGTATAGTGCTAGTGAAAATGCAGCTGTGTGTTGCCCTCTGTTGTGTGCTCGTAACGGTGAGTTTTACTTTTTTTAGCCGACTTCGAAAAGCAGGTTCGCAATTTGACTTTGTTGTTTTATAAATTAAAAAGTACAATGATATCTAATTTGAATTTAAAATCGAAAAATGTGTTCGATACTATAGCCTTTGCCAGCGACTTCGATTTCGATTTTGTAAGTTGTCAATAAAAGACGGCGAGATAATAAAAGATAGACGTCTATCTGTTATTATTTCATAAATGAAATAAAATTATACAAGCCTTATGGAAAAAACTTAGCGATTTAGTATAATAAACTTAGGGTCTTAGATTATGTAAATAGAGCATCGAGTCTCAAAAACGGGTCAACTTTTAAAAACTGATGAAAAAGGAATCAGCTAATAACTGATAAAAAACCAATCATTTAGCTGACCTTTTTTTTTATCATTGTTCTGTACATTTACGCATATAGTGTATCTTGACGTATCTATATTTAATAAATAAAATGAGTTTATACACATTAAAAAGATGCAAAAATTATAAAACAACATAAATATATAAGTTATAAAGGTAACATTCATAACTATTTATCATGCAAAATATTATGAAAAAAAAATTTACCCGCTTTTCTCGAAACAATTGTATGGAGATACTTTATCTATATCTAAACTAAACTTAGACATTATTGCACTAAATTGAAAAATTTAATTAAAAAAATATTACTCTTGATAATGATGAGAATACCCATGACATAAATTTTTCATAAATACTTCCTAAATTACAGATTTTTTTTAATGAATGATAATGGAATGGTAACCCCACCCGCGCTATCGGTATACATAGGTGGGGCACCAGTGAAGGATGATAGATGTGGATGAAGCAGGTCAGAGGGCCTACCATGAAATGTTTTCCGAAATTTCGGAGCCGAACGAAACACAAATTTGATGTTAAAATTACACAATACTTACCGTTTAAAAACATTAAAAATATTTAAATATTATTCCTTTGGACTTTTATGGTAGGATTTATAACGAACGAAATGTTAAGCTCCATTTACTGGGCCAATTTAGGTATGAACGAAAACACAAGATTGAGTCCGAAACTTCGGAATTTCATTTCATGGTAGGCCCCCAGTTAGCCCATCGTGACCAATTCAACAAAAATTGTTCACAATGGTTTCCAGGGGGAACCAAGTGGAGGTTGACCTAATAAGGCATATTGATAGCAATGGGGCTGTTAAACTCCATTGCTAACAATCCCTTTCCCCCCAAATTACAGATATTGTTTGGATATAATATTAATATATGTATTAAATTAAATTATCATTATTCTAAGTTCCAGTATAAAATGAATTTATCATAAAACTACATTTACCAGATTTATTTACCAGAGGGAGACTTTGTACAAAAGTCGTTTGCTTGGATACCTATGTACTATTCATGTTTCAACCGTCAAGCCGTTGTTTGCATGGCTGTGTTTCGGTTTGAAGGGTGGGATATGGCGTGAATTTACTGGGTACAGAGGAATAACACCTGAGTCCTCAGGAATGGCAACGCATGGGGGTATCATGGGTGAAACAGTATACTCTGTTATGTGCATGGTACTGCTCATGTCTATAGGCGACGGTTACCACTTTCCATCAGGTGGGCCGTCAGCTTGTTTGCCATTCTAAGCTGTATAAAAAAAATAAAATACTTTTCGGATATTTGGAATAACTTTCACGGAACTGTCAATAACTGCGTCGATCCGTAGTCATTAGTCTGTAGTTAGAAACAGATTCGAACTCTGTACCTTCGTTAACAGTGAATGCGTTTTCAAACAACATAAAAAAAAAAACTTATAACATTTTATAGTTAAAAGTATCGTAAATACACATTTTATAAAGGTCCCCGATGATCCCGAAACTAGTCGAGCTTTCTCAACCCAATTATATGTTTTATGTGTTTTGACACCCCCCCATACGTTGCCATTTCTGAGGACTCGACTGTTATTCCTCTGTACCCTGTAAAATTTTGCGGACCCTGGTGACTGTTTTACGGAACCCCTAGGAATTGCTGATTTAGACCATCGTGACGATTTCACCAGAAATTAATCACGTTAGTCATCAGGGAGAGATCGCGTGGAAGTCGACCAATTAGGGTATATTGCTTAGAATGGAGCAAAACTTCATTATTGGCAACCCTCTTTCTTATAGGATTAAGGTGTTTTTTTTATGGGTAACCCCGTTAGGGCTGGCGGAGCACCAGTGAAGGGTGATAGATGAGAATGAAAACAGGCCAGTTAGCCCATCATGATGAATTCATCAGGAATTAACCATGATAGTTTCCAGAGAGAACCGCGAGTAGGTCGACCTGGTTAGGTATATTGCTAGCAATGGGATTCTCAGTCTCCATTACTAACAATCCCTTTCCCCCCAGGATTAAGGTGTTACACCTCTGTAATCTATAATGTCTCTATCATATCCCATCGTTAAAGATCGAAACCATAAAATTATTTTCTTTTACCAAAAGACAGTCATGCAAGCAGAATTAAAGCAAAAATACGAATGGAATGAACGCACCCATTCATACGATATTAACTAAACTAATTTCCATGTAATAAAATTTATTATATTATTCAAATTAATTGCATAATTATCATATTTATGTGTTAAATCGCTTTTTTTCATTAATTAAAAAACCTATAAATCAGAAACATTACCCATTAAATTTTTAAACACTGAACGTACTGTTACGTTATTTTAGAAATTTTCTTTCTTTAAACAAAAAAATAACCAGTTATTCCTGTTGATATTATAAATCAGTGGTCATCGCGTGAGAGTATGTGATAATGTTGTATAGAGACGAATGCATTTCGTTGCAATTACATAGAATTAGCGTGATTGAGTAAAAAATTAATGGATACGCCTCTTTAGTACGAAAGCTGAGAATGACGTGATGTCAGTTTTAGCAAAAATATTTTTATTTACACATACAGAACAGAAGCGCGTTTTTTTGTTTTTTTGTAACAAATAATAACATTGACCTGTAATACAGGTATTCTTATACCTATCTCAGGCACCAGTCTCTCACAATTTAATTTATAATTTGATTACTTTAATATAAGCATGTCTCATTGTATCTCACTGTGATGAATTGTGAAGAGAAAATAAATCTATTTATTTATTTATATTATTTATTTAACTTTATAAAAACGTTACTACGAATCATGCACCGCCATTTACTCTCTCTGTTGAGCGTAACGGTTGACTGGTAGAGAATGCCATCAGGCATTAAGTGCGGCCTATAGACATATTTTAATGTGTATAAAGTATAAATAAATAAATGTAATATTTAGTAGACACGTTAGATTAAACAAATTTTATTTATTTATTTATTTAATATTTTATTGTACACACCAGTTATATATAAAAATATGACTCAAATGTACAAAGGCGAGTTAACTCTACAAGAGGTCTCTTCCAGCAACCCCCAAAGTGGAAAGGAGCATGAATGTCAGCGGGCAGAGCGGTGTACAATATTGTGACAATTTAGAATTTTAATTTAGAATGGTTAATTGTGTATCTTACAAGTAAGTTATTTATTTATAATTTATAAAAGACGAGAATTAATATTTAAGCTGACGAATGATAATTCGTTAAAGCCAAACTACGGTTGTCAACCCGCTTGCCAAGCGTGACAACTACTGGCAAACCCCCCAAAGTGGAGTCCTATGTTCAGTAATAGATAGTTAACGGCTATATCATCATCATCATGATTCTTTACCTGGTTTATCTTGACGTTGCAATTAACATGTCTGGCAATGTCTAGTGCATTTAGAAGTATACCAACGGCAAGGATGGACACGATGCTGAATCTCTTTCCACTGCATATAGTGATTGGAAAAGAAACAAGGAAGTAATTTTTTACAACACAGGGAGTAAACAAGCACGCGGCTCACCTGATGGTAAGTGACTACCGCCGTCCATGGTCACCCACAACACCAACGGCATTGCAGGTGTGCTGCCGGCCTTTTATAAAGTAATAGGCACTTTTCTTGAAGGTTATGATGTCGTATCGGTTCGGAAATACTGCTGGTGCTTTATAAGTTGCAGAAAGCAGAGTTATAGACTGTGTATGGTCACACAATATAACTGAATCGAGAACCTCCTTTGGAAAGCCTCCTTTTAGAAAGAATTTATTTAAAAATCATCCGATGACGTCTCATACAAAAATAACGTATAAAATAAGTACCTCTTCTTTTGGAAATTTCTTATAGATAGATGGAGGAGTCTAGGTCAATTTTTCCATGTCACTAGTGAATTGTTAATCCCCGTGTGAGAATTTCACTCGTGGAAAATGCAACTTGACACCGAGAGGCCTGCGGTCAGATGTAGGTCTGTGTGTTTATTGTAGTGTAATATTTATGTACCGTACTAATTGCTTATGAGGTTACGATGATTAAGGCCTGCGCAGACAACAGGTAGTTTGCCTGTAAAAAAACCTTTCAATTATAAGAGATTTTATTATGAACAAAAAATTTAAATGTAATTATTCCATTTAATTATTTTTTGTCTTTAGTTCATTAATCCTACCCATTGGTTTTAACCTTGACTGTGGATATCATTCAATAAAAACCTTTTACTCTACCACTTCTAGGATACAGTTTATAATATTAAGAGAGTGGGGGGAAAGGGATTGTTTGTAATGGAGACTGAGAATCCCATTGCTAGCAATATACCCAACAGGGTCGACCTCCTCGCGGTTCCCCCTGGAAACTATCATGGTTAATTCCTGATGAATTCATCATGATGGGCTAACTGGCCTGTTTTCATACTCATCTATCACCCTTCACTGGTGCTCCGCCAGCGTATCCCGTTAGCGCAGGCGGGGTTACCATACCATTTTCAGCCATAAAAAAATAATATGAAGAGAGTATTAGCTTACATCATTACCACACTGACTACATGGCTTGGTATAAAGTTTTATTTCAGATATTTTTTCTATAACATCGAAGTTGTTAATTTGTAACGCCTCTTTCGTTATCCTGGGAAAGAAATT